ATAGTCTCTATTATAAAAGTGCTGAAGTGAACAAAGACAGATTATATAGTTACTAGGGGTTTGGAATATTAATTAAACATCAGGGCTTTCAAATTAGAATCCCAGATGTTTGATCATTATGATAATCTACTGTTAACTGCGTCCCCTTAAAGGCCTCAGAAACATTCCACTAATCCTCCAGTGGTGAAAGGTTGAAGACCCTTAGGCTATAGAGCACTGAGCTCCTATGCCATCAATTATATAAGACATGGCCTTTTTAGCAAAATAGAGTCATTCATTTAGTGGGCCTTCTGTTAAGGAAGCTCTTGAACAGCTGTCTAAGTAGGTTGTGTGTAAACACTTTCCTTACCAACAGGGGTCCTTTGCAAGATAAAGCACTTTGCTTTCCACACAAGCTGTTTACTCTGAATCAATATTCTAGAGTGTTAGTAACTATCTCTTCACAATGGGGCAGTGCAAGCAGCCCTGACTACTGATAGATCTTCATGCAAGCTGCCCATGACAACACCACCACTCGCTGGGCCTGGATCCCCTGCTCTGTTCTGCCCAGCCCAGGTACGCAATGGACACTATCAGCCCCAAAACCTGGGCAGAGTTGCATCCCAGCAAGTGCTATAGCTTTCAAGATAACGTATCAGCCTGGTAGGGGGCAAGAGTTCAACTCCTACTCAGGAATTTTTAATTTCCTTCCTTTTTTAAAATTTAATTTAATTTGTACTTGTTTGTTATTATTTTTAAGAGAGGCCATTCCTCCCAAGCCCATGGAACTGAGTTGGCAGTGTGGAAAGCAGTGTCCTGTGTGTGCAGTCTACAGGCAGGAGTGCAGACAGCCCTTTTCAGCAGCAGACGTGCTACTGTCACAGTCAACTTGGGAAGCACGTATGAAGATCTCTGCTAACAGCAAGAATGGCTGCTAGCACAGATCTTCCATGATAATAAATATAGTCTTCTTAATAATACATCCAGCTCTTTATGGTTTCTAATAAATTATCCAGCTGAGAAGGACAGTGGCAATGGAACAACCCTGTTGCCTGCTAGTGATTTACTGACAGTATTTCCTTCTTCACTACATGCTAAAGTTAATATATGGATAAGACTCAACTTCAGTAGTAAACCCAGAGCAACCTCAGAACTTTATAAGAAGCAACAGAGATAGAGACAGCAGCATAAGATCTAAAAGTGCCACAGATCACACCACAAACAGCAGAAGTTTGAAGAATGCAGGTAGACCTCTAACTAGGCCAAGGTTGAGGTAAAATAAGACGCTTCTGAATAGTCACCTAAAGCTCAAGTCAAACTTGTGTGGGGTCTGAAAGGAATTTAGTTAACTTTCTTTTTTCTTTTTTCCCCACACAACTGTCCATCTGGATTCCAGGCAAGTACAATGGGCCCAACCCAACTTGCACTGAAGTCAACAGACAAACTTACATTCACTCCAATGGGGCTCGACTGGGGCCTAAATGAGTAGCATCAAAGCACTATTTTATGATACTATAACTGCTTGTGACATTTGCAGCCCAACCAGAAGCAGGAAGTATTGGAAGAATGAATGACATGTGGCAGATGTTGGTTACATCTCTTAATGCCCTACTGGAAGGTGCTTAGATACTACAGTGAGGAAAGCAATATAATAACCTGTGTAAAGCAGAAGTCTCACAAGAAAGCTAGTTCTTGCAAGATTTTTGAGTCTGGTTTTGGAGGCCCAAGAGCACCATGTAAGTTGACTTGGTTCTTTTCTTTGGTGCCTGTGATGGGGTGTGCATCCCACACCAGCCCTGGTAAGGTAAATGAGGGTTTGAGAGGCCAGTTAGGTCACCTGGCATCACAGGAGAGAAGAAGGGCCAGGGCCAACGGATAATGAAGCCCAGCTGGGAAAGGGTTGGGAAAGCACTACAAAACCAGGAGGCTGAAAGCAGAATGGGGTTACAGGGACAGTTACAGTGAAGCCTCCAGGAACAAGGAGGAAGTCCAGGGGAAGAGTAAGTCCTGGGATATTGTCCAGGAATAGCCCGAGGAGGGGCTGAATATTGTCCAGAGAAGGTATCTGGACAGTGGTCCTGTAGGACTTCATAATCCCAGAAGGGGTGGACTAAACAGTGACCTGGCCAGAGGGCCAAGTTACCAGAAGAAAGATCATCACAGAGTGAGCAATGAGCAGCAAGAGGGATGCACCAATGATGCAAAGGATTCCCAAACCTAAATGCAAGGAGAAGCACTAGCGGTAAGTGGTAACCCCCTTGCAGTAACTTTCACTTGTGTACCAGAATTTAAGCTTCCATTTTAAAAACATTAAGTCCCCAACCCTTACGGCTGTGAAGATAACCCTGAGCAGTGCAAAGGGTTTGGACTATAAAGCAAAATCTGGTCAATGGTCTTTAAACACCTTTTCTCTCCTCTAAAGAGAAAGAAAATAGGGCCTTTAAACTGTCTGCAAGCAAAATAGTGCCAACCCCTCCCCCCGAGATTTATGCTGAAGATATTAGCACTGCCTCTGCGAGGAGCCAAACCTCTCCAGTAAAGCCATTACATGCTCATTTCCCATTCCCCTTGCTGCTAGCTTGCACTTCCTTTTTATATGGCTCCAGGCTGGAGACTCAGGTTCTAGCTGTTTTGCAGTTCTGCTGGGTAACCCTTGCCTCTTTCTGTATAGAACCCCAAGGTTATCTAACCCAGATACCCTCTTGCCCTTTCCAAGATGCAGATGGATACTAGAGCCTATCACAACAGCTACCAATCCTCATCATGGAATCAAATATATGATGTTCAACCATCTAACATGTATCCACTTTGTGCCTACCAATACACAACATGAGACTCAGCGGACCCATATGTTTCCTACAAATGTTACAGTGAAACTCCAGTACACATTTCAATAGACTAAGCACTCTATTGAGATGACATTTGCAGGGTGTTTATTCATAGTAGTAGTTAGTAAATATCATGAGCCATTTCAGTTTACTTAAATTCCCTGTAAGCTTGGCTTAAGGACCATGCATGCTAAACTGTCAATTTCTGTTCAGAAGGATTAAAGTGCATGATAGCACAGATGGTGTTCAGCTGAGAGGTTTCAATTTCAGCCTATCCGAAGAAGTAGTGACATGTAAGCATGTAATTGTTCAAAGCAGAGGTAGAAGCCACAAAAAGAGTATTCAGAGGCTTGGTTACAAATACTAAGGGCTTTTATGACTTCAGTATTGTGGCACAAGTACTGTTCCAATACGACATTCTTCCTATATAGGGCACCTTTAATATTTATCTGCTACAATTCTTAGATAGTGAACGACACCCCTGTGCAGAAGGCCAGCATAAGATATATAGACCATTAAATTCCCATTTAAACGGTTCAGGTCTTAAAAAGGCCTTGTGCTGTCACTCTGCACAGAGGAATTCCAGCCAGAAACAGTAATAGGTATACTCCAAAATATGTTAAATCTAAGCCCATATACATGTTTACGGAGTATGAGTCATTCATTCATAGTTTGTAATATTCTTTCTTAATTTTATTTTTAAAAAGGTAAACAGAGACAATGACTGCAACACTCAAACATAATAACTGATTTAATAGCTCTGTAATGCAATCTAATTCCAAATATGCTTAGCAAAACAAGTAAGCAAGAAAACCAAACTTCCAACCCTCAGACAGGACGAAAGATTACAAAAACTGGGCACAATACCTTATCAACTGGGGAGACCATGTTACATATTAAACATCAGATTATCAAACAGACAACAACCATAACCACCTCAGCATGAAACTGAGTAGTGAACGATGACCCCAAACACAGGATAATAAGGATTCTGCATACAGTTCAACTGAAAGAAGCCAAATCTATTCATAAATCTGTTTAGCCTTTTACTTATGACTTCTGCATATCTAGCTATTTTTAATGAACTGTTACTCCAGTGATTTATAATGAAGAGGCTTTTTTCTATGATCAGAATAACCTTGCAGCAGAGTGGCTCTAAGGAGCATAGCTTATTGTAGTGACAAGCTGTACTAGGAAGGTACTATAGCCCAAATACATTATGTCTGATTCAAATTCCACCTTGAGCTCATCTGTCAAAACAGCATTTATTCCGGAGAAGACAACTAATCAAAACTGAATAACCATTGGCTAACCCTATAACTGAGTGACTTATTTTTTTACACTTTCAGCAGACAGCTAAAGGGTCATTTTTTCAACCTTGTTGGGGTCTGGTGCATTCTGTGACTGCCCAGATGTTTAGATCCATAGATCCACTTAAATGATTTTTAGAGTGGTATCCCAAGTAGACTGAAATACTACATTTTGCTTCCCACAACAAACAAATCCACTTTTAATCCTGCATCTTAACTTATAAGTTTCTTAAGATTTATAGCCTGATCCTCCATGATTTTGAGCACAAAGCTTCCATTAACATTTTGTCCCTGTTGAATATAACCACATCATTGTAACAATTTGCAATAAAAATTTTTGGACAATGGAGTACCAAGGTACGCAGCACATTTCCTATACTGCAGCTTATAAAAGTCTTCCCAATTCATATTTAATCTTGCCATAGCAGGCATAGAATACTTTGAACCTGTGATTTTGGCTAATACAGTATGTATTCAAAGTGAACGTTATAATTGAATGTAGGACATTGCATAATTTCCCCTCCCCCCCCAGCCCTTTTCTAAATGGCACCTTCTGAAGAAGTGGCTGTTGAGAAGCACAGTGCTTTACTATGGAGTGTCTGGCATTTCTTCTCCTCCCCCGCTCACACAAATCTATTTGTGTTTCACAGGACAAAACAAACAAACAGGATTAGTATTGCACAGAAAGAATTGCAAACATATGTAATAAGCTGAAAAGCGAAGCCACCACTGCAAACATTATAAATAAGAAATATGCACGTAAGACAACTAGATGCATTTTTAAAGATCAATAGGGGGTTTGAAGGATAAAATGAACATGTGCTGTAGGTAGAGGAGGGTTTCGGAAATAACTTAGAGGCTATTCCCCATGGGTTTATCATACCTTGCACAGCTAACTCTTTCCATCTTTCTTTGTTTTCTTGAATGATCTGCACCAAGTTGTCCTTAAAGCTTGATAGGTCTACCGTTGCTAAAGAATTGTCTGTGGAAGTCCCTCCATCACTTGTAGTACTTTTAACACTGGGTCTTCTTTGTACATCAGCATTGCTTACTGCTCCCAAGCTATGCTGGCTAGAGAAATAAGAAAACTCTACATTATGAAAAGAGTTGAGGGTCTCCATTACATAAAAATAGCTCATTCACATTGATTCCTTAGGATCTATATGTAAATCACTAACTAGAAAACTGGCCTTAGTCAAGGAAAGTATAAGACACATTTCCTTATGAAACAAGTTGTTTCCTGTGAACAATTCTTAATGCCACATTTCCAGGAAATTACTACGAAAATGGAGCAGTGCTCCAACCTCCTGGCTAAGTACTTGGAAGGATTTTAACATACCAAGTTTGGCAGCACCTTTCTCTTCAACCCTTTGAAATGAGTGGGGCTGTTCTGGAGAGACATCTGTTGCTGATCCATGCCAGAAAAGCAATACATGACAGAGCAAATTCTGCTTTCAGATGCATGTGGTTGGCTCCAACTGCGAACATACCACAGGAGCTCTGTGCATGTTATCTAAAGGCAGGATTTGGTTCAATTACCTTCAACCCCACTGCTTCAAAATACACCAGTAAAGCAGGACTAAGTGTTAAGAAATGTGTTGAAATATTAACCTCAAAATTTGGCATTATCTGCCAAGCAACAGTTAGTGCATCAGGTCAGAAAGTGTGTGTGTGTACATGTGAGAAATTGATACATTCAAAATTAATTCTCTTAACACCAAAGGGTGGGGCCTATTTTGTGGCCATGCCCCAACTCATGTCATACCAGTTTTTGTTTTCCACATGATACTGCTTGCCTAATATGATCTCAAAGATTTAGCACAAAAGAGTAAATGCTTGTATGCACATAAATGGGCTCCAATTTTCCCAGCAAAGAAAAAGTACAGTTACAAGTAACATTTCATTGAAAGTATAAGTACGGTGTAAGGAACTGCAAATTAGAACTTCCCTGTGCCCCAGAGGTGTTAAATGGAAAGGACATGGTGTATTTCTAATGTTTTTTTCAGTCAACAACTTAAAATGTACTCCATATGTAATGCCGACAGATCCTCGTCGTCGGCGGGTGGGATCGAACCTGGGACCTCTGGTTGCATGAGCCTCTACTGCATGAGCTAAAAACCAACTGACCGTTAACTAAGGCTGTAGAAAAGACTCATTTTATCTCTCTCTCTAAGTGGTCTCAGTGCCACTAGATGGGACAGAGCACCACACCCAGAAGGTGTATGGGCTACACATACATTAGTGGTTTCCAGCTACTGGTATATGTGCATCAATGCTGGTACAGACTTCAGTGTATAATATTCTAGGCTCCCCATTCCTTCTATAGGGCCTACTTCTGCATCCCTTATTTAAGCAAATCTCCCTTTGCAGTCAGTGGGAGTTTTGTACAAATAAGGCCTGCATGATCAGGTACCTAATGTTAAACCTCTGTGCAAGACCCAGTAGAATGCCTCTGCTCACCTCTCATTCAGTTATGCACACTAATGTGAAACTGGGGGTTGAAGCTGCCTGAACTCCAATTGGAGTAAAAGTGAGCTGTTAAATAGTAGGTGACACCACTGATGTCTTAGTCTAGCACAGTTGCCCAAAGTGGTTTGGAACACTGCCCGCAACAGAAATGCACAAAGAATAAGTTAAACCTCAAAAACAGAAGTTATCATTCTGACACTACCAAATCTAACCAATACACTAAGGAATTATTGCACTGCAGTGTTTTTACAGTGGTATACTACGGTGAAGGGTTAAATCCACACATTAAAAAGAAAATGTGATAATAGACACTTCCTGGGTTTTGCTTTAAGAAGAAATGGCCCAGTATCTTTTATGATGGAAGAGAACCAGCAAACATTTTCTTTTTGTATGTCCAGAAGAAAATTCAACTTCAAGTCCTTAGAGGTGGGTACTTTGTTCTTTATTGTGTTTTTTGCCCTTCCATGCACATAGTGTCCTTGTCCAGTACAGGAACATAGTAGACAGCTGCAATTACAGATATTGCCACTAGGTGGTAACACAGTATAACTATTCACATCAGACTTCTGCAATATGAACAGATTAGAAAATAATTATGCTGCTGTTGCTAATGCTTAGTTACAAAGAAACACAAAGTAAAAGGAGAAAATGTTCAAACCTGTGTGCCCCAAAGGCAGAACTTTCAGACTTTGAAGCTTCCTCTATAAGAGGAATAATAATTTTCTCCATTGAGTCCGTTAGAAGAGAAAACGTGGGCTCTACTATGAAATCAATGAAACCTGAAAAGCAGAACGAGATTAATTCAGGTTGTACATTTTTCTGGGTCTCAAAGCCAATGACTAGTCTCTGTCTTTATTCACAAACTGGCTCCAACTTCAGAAACCACAGATTAGCAAAACTCTAAAGAGAAATCAAAGGGGTAGTCGTGTTAGTCTGGATCTGTAAAAGCAGCAAAGAGTCCTGTGGCACCTTATAGACTAACAGACGTATAGGAGCATGAGCTTTCGTGGGTGAATACCCACGTCTTCGGATGCATGTAGTGGAAATTTCCAGGAGTAGGTATGAAATTTCCACTACGTGCATCCGAAGACGTGGGTATTCACCCACGAAAGCTCATGCTCCTATACGTCTGTTAGTCTATAAGGTGCCACAGGACTCTTTGCTGCTTCTAAAGTGAAATGTCACCCAATGATATCCATAATGTCTGATCAAGCCGGAAAAAATTGGACTTCTAGGTTTTAATATCAGGATAATATTCTGAATACAAATGCAATCCAGATTCAATATACTTGAGATCTTTTTTTCTCTCTCAGTGTAATTTCCATAGTTATTAGTCTGCTGAGGAAAACAAAAAAACACCTGGAGAGGTACAGAAGTAACTAAATGCTAATATTTACAGTTTTTCACTCCTGTCTTCACTGAACCCTGTGCATTTCACAATAAGCTTTTCATTGGAGATTGCGATTAATTACTGAATAAAAGGGAAGCCATGACAGAGCCAATGGGCAAGAAGTCAGTCTACCAATGTTACCATTCAGCGCCTCATGCCAATGAGTCAATATTCCAAATTGCTGTTTATTATTCTGTGGAAGTAAAGTGTTATTTCACAGTGTGTAGGAGTGTTCTGTCAAATCAGTGAAGAGAACAAGTAATATCCCTGGGAGACAGCATTCATCCCACAGCTCTAAGATGTCAGCACTGAACAATGTATTTTACATTTTAAAGTGCTCATCAAGGTAGAGAATGACATAGCTAGAGAGAATAGGCATTATCCTCTGCTGAGCACTTAACAGACAAAATTTAGGTAGAACATGAGATTTGCTATGGATTTCACACTCTAATGTGCCACAGCACAAAGGTGAGCAACAGGTATAAGCTCAAGTACATTGCCACTTGAGTCTGGTTGGAAATGGAATGGGAGACGTATTAAATTACAAGATAATACTGGAGGATACTGTTCAGTTCAAGGATATGACATCTTAACATATAGGATCTCCCAGTCCCAGGATTATTTCTGGGGGACATGTTGACATTTGTGAAAGGCACTTTTCAAGGCATACTTTCCTCAGCAAACTTTTAGAGTTCATACCTGTTATTGGCCCCATAAAACTTTAAAGTAATTATTTTAATCCCTATTTTACAGATGATGGGGAAAGGCAAGGGCCTGCATTTCACCTTTGAAAAATTAGGCCCTAATTTGCTATCCCAAGGCTACACATTAAGGCTCTTTACTTTGAATGTAAGCTCTTCAGGGAAGATACTATCTTTTCTTTAGGTGTTTATACAATGAGATCATGATCTTTGATTGGGGCCCTTAAGTGGTACTGAAATACAAATGATTATTATCTAATCACAATAGGTCCTAACCAGACAAACACCTACAGTAACTCCTCACTTAACGTCCTAATTATGTTATTGAAAAATGCAACTTTAAGCAAAACGATGTTAAACGACTCCAATATCCCCATAAAAATTAATGTAAATAGGGGAGCTTAGGTTCCAGAGAAATTTTTTTCCCCAGACAAAAGACATTATATACATACACTGTATAAGTTTTAAACAATTTTAAGCAAACAATTTAATACTGCACTCACCAGTGATGATTGTAAAGCTTGGTTGAGGCGGCGGCGTAGCAGGGTTGGGGTGCGGGGGCTTGCCCCGCTCCGCCCACCGGGCGTTCCAGCTGGGGAATGGTGTCGGGGCGCCGGGGCTTGCCCACTCCGCCCACCCAGCATTCCAGCTGGGGAGTGGGCAAGCCCCGGCACCTCGACCCCGCGCTCGGGGGGGGGGGGGGGCGGGGAGTCAAACAGCGTCATAAGGGAACATTGCAGGACTTTAAAGGAGTATGTTCTCTGATAGGTCAGCGACCTAATAATGAAACAACATTCACTGGGAGGACGTTAGGTGATGAGTTACTGTACTTGAGTAGTCCAATTGAATTCACTGGGTCCACTCGCGTTCATATATAAATGTCTTCAGGATCAGGGGCCCAATCAGTAGCAGAGTTGGTATTAGAAGTCAGGAGTTTTATTAACTTCCAGTTATTAATCCACTATACCACAATGCCTTAGATATTAGCGTTTTGGGGGGAAAAAACTAGTCTGGCTCCTTCTAAGAAGAGAAAAGAATGTTTAATAGATTTGTCATGCTTCTCTATGTAAAATTTAAAAATAAATTCTGATTCTTATTGGTTCATAATATGGACTAGGTCCTTTAAATGACTTTTCAGTTGAACAATTTAAAAAGGCTGAGACAATAAGACTTTAAAAGTCATTGAATGGGGAAACATAAATAATATTATACCCATTTTACAGTTGGATTAAGTGAGATAGGAAATCACTTGCCTAAGGTCACACAGTGAGTCACCAGCAGTGCTGGAGATAGATGCCAGGAGCTTGTTTGAAGGGCCTTTTGAAAACAGTGAGTTACTTGTATCCAGCCAGCTTGACTCTATGGGTATATCTATGCTGCGATAGGGATGGTCTCAGAGCCTGGCCTGAGCCTGAATGTCTACACTGCAATTTTATAGCCCAAGTCGGCTGACCCAGGCCCGCCAAAGGGTACGTCTGCACTGCAATAAGACCTTTGTGACTTTGAGTAGGTGACAACTTCTCCATGCTTTGCTTTACCAAATTCTAAAATGTCTATAGTAACAGCTGGATCCCAAGAGTGCAGATTTCCAGTACCCTGATCTAACCACTAACATACTGTCCCATATGCTTCATATGCCATGCTGAAAGAGCTTAATGTCCCTTTTGACAACAGCATGTCACTAGTGTAATATGCTCTGATTTCTGAGAGTAAATGTGTAGGACGAAATGTGCTGTTTATAGTAGTATCTACAGCTTTTTGAAAACATTGTGTGCAGTGTGAGAATGGAGGATGACAACACTACATGCTCCTACATTTATGAGAAAAAGAAAACAGCACTGATCATTACCTATTTGGGACTGAGCCACCATGGTAGATTTGCGGTCACAGAGTGGGGAAAATGGTAGCCCTAAAGCAGCCTCCTTGTCTCCCTGGAAAAAGCAATGTTTCATATTATAAGAATACATATACAAAGGAGAAAGCCTGAACACTGCTCTCTGACCAATTACTTCTACAATTCACTTCTTTTCCTAAATTAAAACAAGCTGTGGGTAAAATAAATCTAATATTGTTTTTTTTAAATGAAAAAGAGAGAAGAAAAGGAAAAGTCAGCATTATAACTTAATTTTAACAATTTGCATTGAAAAGAATATGCTGAAAGCAAAGATCTTGTCAAGACCAAAGCATCTGCCACTGTGATTTAGTATTTGTCAGGGAAGGAAAATAAAAAGCATGTTTTATAAGGAGACCTTCTTCAGCCTCACAGCTTGGACTTGGAGCACCCAGACATCGTTCAACTTCTCTTGAAGAGACAGTGGGGGAGAGAAGGGGAAGCCGACCATTCTGATATTTTCCCAACTATATAACTGCATTTTAGAATGCAGGGGTCTCCACATTTGCCTGGAAATTCATTGATAAATTTGTAATTGTAGAATTAAGTCCTTTTGCAGGTGCATTTAAAATATAGACCTTTGATATTCTTATCATTTAGCACTGAACGATAATAAGGAACGGATGTAAGAAAAACATAGAAAAATAATTTCAATACAACTGCTTAAAAACAGCCTCACAGATAGAAGAATGTGCTTCAAATAGAAATGGAGGGTTTCACCACTTCTTCCCTTAAAGTCCAATTGAATTCCAAACCTAAGTGAAGCTATGGATAGATATCTAGAGCTAGAGGAAGAAAGCAGAGAGAAAATTTAAAAAAAATCTATCGGTGGCCATACATACAGAATGGGCCCAGAGAGAAAGAAAAGAGACAGAGGACCAAATTATGGCTGACCTTGTGCTTTATGCCTGAAATGGGTAGAGTGCCCAGAGACCCCTTCCCTCACCCTGCCCACATAGAAGGTACCCATAATTTGACTACAGGGAACAGAAGAGAGCAGGAGCAGGTAGTATTACCAAAAGGAGCTAATGGTCCCCAGAAGTGAACGACACGAATATAAATGAAGGCGATCCCCTGATTTCATCTAGCTGAGGATTTGGTTCCATGGGCTTCTACTGCACTAAAGGTTTTATTAAAAAAAAATTGAGCTAACCAACCTGGCTTTGCTTTCATGGCTTAAGATCAGGGCCGGCGCAACCTATTAGGTGACCTAGGCGGTCGCCTAGGGCACTAGCATTTG